CTACAGTCCTGCTAAAAATCCCATGAACACCCCTATCTCCATCAAAACAACTAAGTCTATATTTGCTGCATATAGCAATTTTATTTCTTAAAAGTAAGATATAACAGTTAGAATTGGAGTGAAATGGCAATATACATCAGATGCACGTGGTACATGTCTTCATCGATTAACTGAAATAGAAAATACGGATATTAGCTTAACAGGTTTATTTAGAAAGACTAGTGTCTACTCTGAACTTACTGCGTGAGAACGTTATCCTGGAACTACGAATAATGTAGGAATCTAGTCTCCCAGGGCGTACGAAGCAATCAAACTGGAAGGCAGTTGTCCAAAAATAATTTGAATATGAAAGTGAGAATTTGCAGGTACTTTTCATCGTAAGGGTGAAAATATTAGGTACCGGTTGATGTCATACAGTAAAAAACACAGATTTGCGAGTGGTGAAGTATGATCTATAAAAAAGTGAGCTTAACAACAGTTAATTACCTTTTTACTCCCTGATCATGATCCTTCGGCTTCCTTTTATGGCCGAAATAGCAAACATACACTACACACTGATAGCAGATTTCCGGCTTTTCAATGTTAGGCTTGCTTTAACGCACTACGTAATGAGTACAACTCCTTTATTACTGCTATATGACATATTTTTAATAACAAACTCTCTTCAATAGATTGGTAGTATCTGTGACTTCGTTTATAGTTTTCGGAAGCCTGAGTTCTTTCGAAAACAATACTGGTATCCCCTACTGCTGTGCAATCAGTATTAGTTTGACTCGTTAGCGGGATAATGTTGTCCATAATACTGAAGAAAATTAAAAACTGGAGATTGTTTCTTTTCATTTTGCCGATAACATCATAAAGGACGGTTAGGAACGAACATGCGGACAGTTAGTCACAGGCAGCAACAACGAATATTCTAGCTAGAGAAACGAACTCCGGCTTTGGATATCTAAAAAGCAAGTCAAAACAAAACCGAATACCATTTTAAAACATAAGACGAACCAGCTCGGCTGAAGAAATACATTGGCTTGAGTAGAAGTAGCAAAAACCATAAAACTAATGCTGATTCGAAGTAAATTTCACACCAACATGTAGAACATTACCCTAACTGCGGCATTTTATCAGACCGAAACATTAAATTACATAGCTACACAAAAGAAATAACTGAAAGAAGCACAGAACGAAGAAAGCCTACCGCCATTACTTACAAAGATGGCGGATGCATTAATTCCCGCCTCATTCTGATTGGTTACTAAGCTGAAGGGCATATTTACGAAATTGAGTTGCGTTTAATTGCAGCCGGACCGAGCGGGATGGAGAATGCTGGTCGGCGGCCTATGCTCCATTGGGAGTAATAGGCTTGAGTAAATAAGTATGTTCATGATCCCGGGTCAATGGGATTCCCATCCTGTAAGTGTACTTTGTGCTTTCTTGGACAGCATCAATGCAACTCCGTGTGTGTGTATGACATTTTCTTTTTCATGGCAGGAGTATAGTAGAAGCTCCCCTGAAGCTAGTCGTTGTTGTCCAACTTGCGTCCAATGAGTTTCACTACTCCCAAGCACCTTCACGTTGCATCTTTCCATTTGTGCAGCAATTTGGAAGACTCTTCCGGTCTCCCACATTGTAAGGTCATTCCATGTACCTAAATTAATAGTTGCTCTTGTTGTCAGAAGGGGTATCAAACTCGTGACTTCTGAAAGAACTCGGCTTTGAGCATGAGGCCTCACAACTCATTTAAAGGAACTAATTTTTCCGGTTAGCGTTTATTTAAGGATTTGTTTTTCTACGGGATAAGGTCGCTAACAGCACACCCGACCCTTCGCTTTTATTTGGAATTCGGGTCGACGGTAACCCGAGAAGAGCCCCAGGCGGGGTGAAAGATCTCTCCCTCCATCAATAATTATCCTCAGTCTCAGCGGCTTCTTGACCGACCCTTCTATTCATTCCTTAAATAACCAACCTACCCATCGAATCCACTCTTTTTCACTTGCCACTGTCTGACTTGATTCTTCTTTCCCCACTCCAAAATCTCACACCTGCTCTCCTATTAGTCCCACTGATAAAAAATCAAATGAACAACATCAATAAGAGGCTTGTTATGACTATTGCTTTGTCAAATATCACATCACTAAATCGCTACACAGAACACCGACTTATTTGGCCTTAGCACTGTGCCAAACCAATGACGTGTTAATCAGTTCGAGCAGCCTAGCCCTATCCGTTTGAGTTCGGAACACAATCTCAGCTTCCACCGTGTGAATCATGTATTTCAAACATTAGCAGTTTACAAGCAAACAAATCAGACCGCATCGCTTCATAAAATAGATAATAAAAATTATACAAGATCAGTCTAGAAGTGACTGTAAATATGAGAGGCTGTAGCCAATAAACTAGTCATATCTTAAGTATAGTAAGTCGTATGACAGTATTTTACAGGTCAAGTTGAAACTATTAATAAAAATAATATGAATATACATATAGTATAGTCATGTGGTGGCATTGGGCCCTAACCACACAATCCTTAATGCTGAACACTAGACAAACGGGAAACTAGACACTGATCGTCGTCAAGGTTAAGGATAACCAATGGGTATAATTCGGTTGCACGTCATGGATTGGCCTATGAGACAGTGACTGCACTCTATTTCATGTACCTTCTCTTGCTAATATATTTCTGCAATCACGTTTTTTGTGTTGTACGGTCATCAAAGTAACCACAGCACCTGGATACGACGAAAAAGTGATTCACATTGAGGATTAGCCGTAGGGTGTGACTTCTATGCAAACTTGTTAGTCTAAACATTCCGGGTCAACTGGATTGGCCCTCCAATCATCGATATGGATCACCTACGTTGATGATTTTCGGACGTGTAACGACTTAGTCTGATTGACCGAAAGGTGACCACAAACATCTACACAAATGTCAGAACATTATAGCTCAAGTATTCATTCATTTCCTTATTTTGTATAAGCGTCATATTTCCTGTTATTTTGTGTTGAATGTTGCAAAGTTTTGTATCTAAAAACATAACCCTGTGCTCCACTGTATGTTGTCTCATGGTCTAAGTAGGGACTTATTCACTACGAATCTGTATTCTTTTATCAATGAAACGATATATATCCACCGGCTTGGAAGAGTCATGCCACCAATTTTATGTTGGATTCGCTACATCGTTAAAGTGACCTATTGCGTGCCAATTCTTACACTATGAATGAAGGGCTGAAAGTGGATAAAAATTATGAAGGACAAAAGTTAAAAATAATAAAGGCATTGAAAGTACTAGCGTTTCAGAACACTTTAAACTCCCTTTTGTGATTTTTAAATCGAATGGACAGCCTTCCTGTTTCCTACTTCAGCTTTCGTTTCATTATTCAAACCCATTCCATCTTAATACACTACACAACGGATTATTCTTTGTTTCTGCAATTCCTTTGCGGACCTTTTAGCCGCAATTAAGTCTATTGATAGTACCTAACATAAAGCTTACATGCTAATTAAACTTAATTTTGTTTGTTAAACTGCAAATATTCGAGCCATGCTGAGGATGTACATCCACTTATCATTCTGCAAGTCTTTTTTGTTGTTTTCAGCATCACAATGGCATGCAACTATGAAGCTTTAATACTAAACTGGTACCAAACCTATACGTTTGTCGAGGTTCTAGGTTATACCTTCTCGTAGTTACTCCAATACATTTATAAAATTATTGAACATTTATATATATTGTTATATGATAGTTTAAACCAATTATTATATAGTAGTTTAATCCTCGGTTTTCTATGACTAGGCAAAAATGATCTGAACTCCTGAGGCTGACTTGCGTACGCTTTATGCCTCACTGTCGTAACTACTCTTTTGACTATCGCGAGACTTTCTCTAAACAGTTATGTTCTGTTTTTTATATGGAACCTTAAAATGATTGTGTTTATCAAATTTAGCCAGCAAGCACAATTTACAAAGAGGCAATAATAGGTCATACGTAATCACACTTCATTGTAAATGGAGGAAATAAAGTGTAGCGTAGACTTTTTCAGCATCCGATCTGTAGTTGAATCAAATGTCAAGTGATTGTCTCAGACCACGATCTTTGCAAGATTTTACTTCAGTCACTTAGGAGAAAATTGTAGATCACTAATTTAGGCGACCTATGCGGTTTGTCGAGGTCTAATTGAGTTGGACAGTAATTGTGTGATCTCTTAGCTTACGTCGAAGTCATGCTTTGCAGTTTGATAACACTGTTTCTGCAACACCTCTCTACTCGGAGATTCCAAACCCGGTAATGCCGGAAGTCCAAAATGAAGGAGTTTGCAGGTATATTTCGTAGGTAGTCTATGTGTCGAGAAGTATATAAACTATTCCGGCTAGTTGTTGCAGAGGGTGCTTAAAACGACGTACCGGATCCTTGACCAGTTTCTTTCAGCTACAATGTGCCAAGCAAAACAAAAAGGTCGGAATCAATGCTAGGAATTACAGAAAAACTGGTGAGAAGTTATAAATGAGCCAATCAGATATAAGTTGACAAATCTTGGATATTATGCTAAATCCATTCATCCATTTAGCCTGATGCCGTTTTGGCATTTCAGATGATGTCAGTCCGTGGTGAAAACACCAAGCCTAATTCTCAACCTTAACTACCAATTCTAAATCATAATTATAATTTCTTACACTGGTTTATAATTATCGTTTAGCCCTAGTAGGTAGATGGACATTCTCAAGGTCACTTTGGCTAGCTCAAAGGTCGTCCGTAAATTATAGTTACACCGAAATATTTCTTTTAGGGACCTACTTTTCATTAAAGTTTGCACCTTGGTATCTAAGTTTGAGTGGTAGCAGAAGATTCTTGGTTTTCACATAAATTAAACTTATGGAGGACAATACATAAGTGAAAACAGAACCATAACATCTTTAGTAAATGAAAATATTATCTATTCATATTAACAAACGTAGGACAAAGTGCCAAATTTTTGTTCTGTTGTCTCAACTTGTAGGTTGCACTAAAAAGGCGCCTGGTTCGACGTTCATGCTACTAGCGGATGTGATAATGATATGAAGGCCCCAGAAGGTTTCCGGCTGCCTAACCCAATCGATTTCGAGACTCATCCTCCACCAGAGTTGCCAAAATACTTAAAGCATCAGGTTTACGATAAACCTGAGGTGTTTGCGAAAGTAGACAGTCATGCAATCCAGGTATATTTCCTTCTTACTACGCAGCCCGAATCGTATCTTAAGCTTCATATACTAGTCTGATATCTTTTCTTTTTCTATTTTCTAGGTTGCAGAGTACCAACATCCCACATTCAGGGACCTAATGTGGGATTTACTATATCGGTACAAATTAGATGAATTAGAAAGGGCCCGTGTAATATTCCGATGGATGACTGCGAAGGATATGCAGAATATCCACTTCGAAAATGTCCCTCCTAATTCTCCGGAAGACGTTCTCATGTCCTTCAGCACTAACCGCGGCACGTTTTCCAGGATGTACGAAGTAATGTGCAAGTAGGTCTTTCAATCTTCCATATTTTGTCAGTTATTCTGAAATTCACTGTGTCACCGTTAGTGGATATGCCAAAGGTGTTGATTACCTTCCTGGTGACAAATTTTGTGGTCTTCCTCCCAATCATTCATGGAATGTCATTTATATTCGAGGATCTTGGCAGCTTGTTGATGTTCATTGGGCGGCTCGCTACCTAAGTTCGGGAAAAAATGTACCTGAGAATGTTGTCTATGAGTATGACGATTTTTACTTCATGATGGAGCCTCAGCAGGTTTGTTTGATAGGTTTCTATTAAGTTTTTATTGGCTTGTTTTTTGGATACTGGTCATTTCTTTTATCGTTCTGATCTGTAGCACCCAATGACACCCGATTTGATTTTATTCTCTCGAATTTTGTTTCTTTCAAACAAATACACTGTTCTAGCTAGTTAGTTTTGTAGCACATCTAAGCTCAGTATTCATATCTTCAAGTCATTACTTTTTATGCAGTATTTTGTTCATGTTACGCACCTGCCAACTCTGGTCGATAATATGAATGACAGGTTTCATGTCCTTAATTTAGGGTTAAGCTGTCAGTTGAAACATTTAAATGTATTCATCTATATCACTGATATCCAACATACGTTACGGATTGTCATTTACTTTCTCATTTATCGTTCCGAATACCCAAAATGACAGAATCAAACCATATAATAGATTGTATAACCTAATGTTATTTAATAATATACTGAATCAAATTGTGAGGAAAGATGCAGTCATAGAAATCAAATCTGAAGCTCATAAAATATTAAGATTAACCAGCTTAATTATTGTACTCGATTCACTCGGAAATCTCCCTGTTTGTTTGTCTATCAATAAAAGGACGAGTATACTGCGCGGCAGTCCGTTCTGTTTTACTTTACGGTAGCGAAACATGGCCATTAAGAGTAGAAGACACTCGCAAGCTGCTAGTATTTGACCACAGATGCCTTAGAAATATTGCTGGCGTCTGCTGGGATAATCGGGTAAGTAATAGTGAGGTTAGACGCAGGGTATTAGGAAAGGATGGTAAATCAGTTGATGAGGTTATGAATCTTCATCGACTGAGATGGTTGGGCCACGTGTTACGTATGCCTGAACACCGATTACCACGACGTGCAATGCTATCCGGTGTTGGGGATGGTTGGAAGAAAGTTAGGGGCGGCCAAACCAAAACGTGGCATCAGTGCTTGAAGTCACTAACTTCTAGTCTGAGCCATGTTGGTAGATGCAGACTACTTGGTTGGGGTCCGCGTGACTATCGTAACCAATGGTTGGAGACTCTTGGTGACATGGCTCAGAATCGATCACAATGGCGTCGGTGTATACACTCGGTTTCTTCCCTTAAACTAAGAGATTAAAAGCGCTTCATATCTTTCTTTCTACTAACCAATTCTTTCTTCTTGTACTATATCTCTATATGCAATCTTTCTCTTATATATTACCACCTTTTACCTAACCACTGTTATGAATCCGGTGTTCATCTTGTTGTGCTGATGCGGTATGGCAACCTGGACCGATGCACATAAGTGCATGGTTCTACGTTGTAGCTGACTGACTGACTGACTTGTTTGTGGGTTAAGTACAATATCTCAACTAGTGATCACATTTTTTCGACAAATTTAAGCTATACCCTCAAATGACCTCAACATCTAAAAGCGTTTCAGTCAATTATAAAACAGCTACGGGAAATAAATGCTTTATTATAAAAGGGAAGTTACTTAGCATATATCAATTTTACGTCTTTAATAAACTTGTCTTCCAAAAGGTTTTCTGTGGTGAAATCAGCTGACATTTAGTAACAACAGTGTGTATCCAGATGTAGTGTTATCTAACAACCGTAATTAATAATAAGATTAGTATAAACTCGAGCTAACCGATTAGTTATTAAAACTAATTATGTAAGTGTAATGATAAAAATGAAAAATATAATTGTTATTTTGGCTTAAGCAGATGGTCAGAGCAAAAAAAGCGATACAGTCAATTTAGTCTCAAAAATTCGATTCGTTCATGTTAATTTTTGGTTTTCGCTGTTAGGAGAATAGGTTCAATAGAGCTCGATGGACATCTTTAAAACCTACCTTTGCATGAACGCTGTGTTAGAATAAAACTTCGCTCCATTACTGTGTACCATGATATTTGGATTGTGGTTTAGTTCAGTTCAGTTCATTTTGTCCCAAATTACCCTCACAATTGCATGTAATACACAATGAGGAATATCTTAATATACGTAAAGCTTTGGAATATACCATTGCTATTATTTTTTATTTATTTTAACACATAGATGTTGGTACAAGGAGGCACCAAATACATATGCGCCACATAAATCTAATTTGATACCACTGCTATGTAAAAAAGGTATTACTTCTGCCTGCATTAAGCCTATACTTCTGTGACTAAGTCAGCCTAGTTTGCAGATATCAAGATTAAATTTAAATAATGTGGTGTGATTCATTATCTTTTCATTGGTGAGCTTTATCGCAAAAGCTTATCATTTTTATTACATTGTTGTTACATTGTTTTGCTGGTACTATTTATAGCTGTTTCGTATCCTAAATCCCATCTAACCTTTCTCCAGGCTGTTTACAGCCATTTTCCAGAGGATCAGAGATGGCAGTTATTACCTGTGCCCCTCACACTTTCGCAATTCGAAAATTTACCACTTACAAAGTCTCAGTTTTTCAAATGTGCAATTGATTTCTTACAACAACATCATGGTGTTGTTCGAACCCAGGATGGTTGTCTGAGAATGACACTAGGGTTTTGGCGTCCTGGAGGTTTCACTTATAAATTACAGTATTTGGTTACCAGCTACAACAATCCTGACCTTGACTCACTTACTGCATATCCAAGCGAACTGACAGACCAAGTTCCTAATTTGAATGTTGATTTGAAGTGTTTCGTTTTACAAGAAACAACGAAAGATCGTTTAAACTTTTTCTTTCGACTCCCAGCTTCTGGAATTTACTACCTCACCATATATGCTCAGGTAAGTTCTAAATAGTCGTCTATAAACTGTCCGTATGTATATATATTACAGATAAACTGAAAATGTAACTTTAAGGCACCTTTTTACCTCCTGTATAGTCAAATTTCTATTTTGTGAACCACTACGAAAAAGTACTTTATCCCTTTGGATGAGGGATTGATAAGTACTTTAGTTTCATCTTTTTGTATAGTTGTGGTTTAAAAATAATGAGTCATTTCTGAAACCAGTGTAACATCATGCCTTTACTTAGAATCGAATTCTTTTCCCACTAGGTTCGTTAGCTGTTATGCTTGATTTGACAGTTTAAACAGAGCAGATTCTCTGCCGATGTTTTCGCATTAAAAGTTATCTGTATTAATTAACATTTTGAATCAAGAGTACCTCTGTTTTTATACCATCCAGTTGATTACAAGGTGCTCTCTCGTTCACTACGAGTACCTAGACTATTAAATCTCTTTCAATACTCATATCTCTTTCGACGTTTAAGACTTTCCTAGCAGTGGCTTTATACACGTGGCCATATGATAGCGTTTCGAGAGGAAGAACCGACTTTCCCCACTCTCAGCTATACCAGGGCATATATATATATATATATATATATATATATATATATATATATATATATATATATATATATATATATATATATGGCACTACAATAATTTACTGGGATTCTACTAGTAATTAATTCAATGTCATTTTTTCCTTGAAAATTATTACTAACCGTGTTTATTATCATCTGATGGTATTTCATAATATTGTAATCTGAAAACGAGTCTAAAATATAAATACCATTTGTGAGTACATTTAAATGTATGTAACTTTGGTTAGTTCTGTTTCAAAATTTAAGGTTATACTAACCACCATAATTGGCAATCTGAATGAAAATAAATTTTGTGCTAACGAATAAAAACTAATTATTACACTTTAACAGTTAATTGTATGTGCTATTCTGAAATAAGTGAAGTATAGTACAAGTCGTTTCGTCCAATGCCTATAAAGGTTAAATGGTTGCAGTAGGCAAATCTCGATTAGAAGTAGGATAAAGTTTCTGGAATTAGAGTTAGATAAAACTTAATGCTAATAACTACTCATTCATGATATACACAACTCACCAAAATCAGATAACACAAATGTTTAGACTTTTAGTTCATTTTTATAGTGAAATATTTTATTAGTAGTGCCATTGTTGGGTGGCGAATAAACTTAATTACTAACCAAAGTTAAGCATAATAAACAACGACAAATTATAGATGCATATAGTGAACCTTAGACCACATTTTCTGTTTAAGGTCTGGACGTATGTTCGACTATTTAAATTACGAAGCCGAGAGAATAAAATTGAAATATGAAACTTAGCGACTGTAAGCAAAGCGTCTAAATAATTTAAATGTGACTCTAATATGATATAACTCGTTATTTTTTCAATGCGTTGTGTGAGCTTGTTTTCTTAGTCATTTGATGGTCAAAATCTTAATTTACTGAAGAGTAAGTAACCTCCAAAATCTATACTGCGTAATCGCTCATTTTAATATATTTCATTTATAAGAATGTTTTCTTATTAGGTTAAGAAGTACACTTTGCTGGGTAGTGATTCTGTCTTGATATCAGTTGATTTTGAAGCTTACATTTGTAAATCGGTCTCCTCAGTAGCCATCATTCGGCCACTTTGTATCATCGTATATCATATATCCGTCAGTATTAAATCAATCCACTTAATAATCTAAAAGCACACATATACAATTCTCCTCCATAATATCCCTATTTGTTCAGGGATTTATCTTCTGGTGGTTTCTTGCTCATTGTTATGTTCATCTTTTCCACACTAGTCGTTCAGTTCTTTGCTATATTATCCCAATTACCGATACATATGGGACTTCATACATTAGTTCATTAGATACTTTTTCTTAAAAAAATTAGGTGTATTTTCTGCTATAATTAACCAATTTATCGGTATGTTCACTTCATATCTGGATATTATACATGCTTTTTGTGAATGCTTTTGTTCTAAAACAATCAAAATTTGTGAAGTTTATTTTTCCCATAACTTCAAAGGAACTATCAAGTCTGGCTGTTGGTCGCGAAAGTACTTTTCGAGCCGCTTGCGAATATAAAATTATATGTAGCTCACCAGCACGAGATGCCCAACCGTACCCAATTTGTCATGATGCTAATTGGGGACCAGCTTGGTCTCATGTACATCACTATGCTCTTGAACCAAGCCATACAGAGGGTGTGATCAGTATACCTAACGAATTAGATTCCTCAGTTAACTCCAACGGACATCATACACCACTACCAAAAACGGTTGATATACGGTTTCAAAAACACCGACCTGAGGTTAATTTACTAGCAAAACTTCATCGAAATGGAGTGTCGGACGACTTTCTTGATCAGTATCAACGTGTCACTGAAACAGTGCGTGAAACTTTATTTCATGTCACTCTACCTGAACCTGGTAAGTTTTATTAACTACTTACATAATTTGTTTATTATTTGAATTATTCATAAACCTCGCTAAACTAAAACTCGATTGCTCGCTTATATTGAAAATGAAGGTTCCGTACGTTCCAAATTTCAATATGGTCGACTCATTACATGTTAAAAATTGTCGGATACAATCGAAAAGTATGAACACAATTTTTGGTAAATTTTATTTTATTCTTGACCATAATATCAATCCATCTTGTTTTAAGTGAGTAGAAGAGAATTTACTGAAATTCACATTTATCGACAATCTCATTTTGACACTATCTCAGTTGTTAACAATCATGTATATTCCATTTGGCTTCTAGCTAATTTCCACTTGAACTGCTTAGCTCTTGTGACCAAGTTTACTTTATTTCGCAACTTACATGATGTTGATGTTTTCATACAAATTTAAGACTGAAACCATATTGCTACTTATCTTGGTTAATGTTTAATTAGTTAACTTAATACAAGTCAGTAGACATTTGCGGTTTAGACCACTTGGTAATATGATATTGTTCATATACGAATGCTTTCAGTTACAATGTAGAAAATAAAACTCCGTATGTGCTAAACAACTGTTTCATTTTGGTTTGGGACTCTTCCTTAGAAGAAATCACAATATCAAACAGGAACCAAAATTAGAGCATTCCATGCTTCACCGACAGCATAGTACCTTCTCATAGCAATAAATCAAAATTCAATATAGACCACACTATCAACTTTTATAAATTTGTGATACGGTTTGATCCTGATCTAATTATCACCAACGAGTTACTATTTTACTGTCGACTTAGTTGACACTATGGATCATGGCATTTTTACTTACAAACTTAAGGAAATCCATTTTGAAACTAGCCATTAGTGAGCACACGATTGTGATGAGTAAACATTTTCTGGGTGTGCTTATTTGTTCTGAGTAGTTCCTCGGGGGTGGTCAAATCAGGACATGGCATTAATCCATAAAGTCATTGACTGTTCGACTGAGTCATATAGGTAGGTGTATAATTTACTTGATTGCTGTCTGGGGAACTATCGTAATCCGTGTTTAGAGATTTTAGTTGATATAGCTCGGAATTGGTTACAATAGTGCAGTTGCATTTATTATTTACCTTCCCTCAGATCTTAAGTTTTTAAACGGATTATAAAGCTTCGTTTTTATTAATTTACATTTCCTCGAAACGTATCTTAAATCTTCAGTCTTTTCTACCACACCAGTACAATCATTAAATTCACTACTCTTGGATTTCCCCTGACAGTTTCATCTCGTTGTACCAATGGGGTTTAACAACCTGAATCGTTGTAAACAACTGTGTTACGTTACATTTGACTTGCTGATTGACTGACTAACTGACTGAGCAAATGAATATGTTCGCAATTACTAAATGTCACAATTATGATAATTAATTCTTAAGTTTCGAATTCATAACATTTGTTCAACTCTTAAACCGTTTTCAATGCCTTCTGATTGTATCCGTGATGTATACAGGTCTTTTAGATATTCTTGGTATGATTTTTACTGTAGGAGCTTGTGAAATCTTATTTTTCATATTGTACAGACTTCACTGTGTTCATAATTCCATGTCATATTTTGTCGAATGTTAACCTACCAGATAAATATCGTCCAAGTTATGTCTCTTTTTAATTGACTTGGGAAATGATCAAAAGTAAAAATAATGAACTTACCTGAAAATGTGATTTTTGCGAAAATATGATCATAATATTATTTGAAATAGCTCAATACAAAATTGTTTTTAGGGAAGGATTATGTTTTATAGATACAGTGTCTGTATGTGTGTGGTCTTATCACTACATGAACTTTCGTTTATTCGTCACCGGTTGACTTTGTGTTTCTCGTCACATGCATAATGTATGGACGTTGGTAAGTATAATCACTAGAGTAAACATTCTGGATACACGTATTTATGCTTAATTCTAAATTATTATTTTAATACAGGTGAGTTTATGATGACAAGAATCATTCTATTGCTTATTCTGTATCAGGTGCCTAAGTAAATTTCCTACAACAACCAATTAGTAATTTTGCTGTGACCTATTTCCCGCTGATCGTTAATTGATAAGCTTTATATTTACAATTAGAGTAACTTTTCGTTGATCTGTTTAAATATTTAATTTCTTAATTTGTTAAGTTTGTAGCGGTTAATTGCTCTATATCTGACTCCAATAAATATTGTCCCCCTTGACTAAGTATTTTACGCAGGCCAAATATCCTAATAGTATTATGAATCTGCTCGAGATTATTCAAAAACCAGAACACCAGTTGTAGGGATAGTGTATTGTTAATAATTGGTAAAATCCTCAAGCAACGCAGAAAGCAAGCACAGAGCAAAGTGAGTGAGAGAACGTAGAGAACAAAGAGAGACGAACCGGAGATGGCGTATGAGCCAACTCAATTTAATCAAGCGTTAATCGATATTCATAGTCAGACAAAAATAAGTTACATAAATGTGATGAGTAAGATAAGAAATGCACACACATACGCTTACATAAAACAGTGAATGTTGATAAGCGAATAATTAATCAAAAAGAATGAATAAGTCAGCCTATCTGGGAGCTAGAATAACCTATGCGTGCTCGACTTAGGGCCATCCACTACAACAGTGTGCATTTACAACCCCGAAGGTCCTAAGTTCTACAGATTCGTAAATAAAAGTAGATTTTACATTTTCACTGTTTCTCTTTATTATCATCATGTTAATTATGCTCATTTAAAGTCTAGTAAAGCATATTATTAAAATATAATCTACAAATAAAACAAAACATCTACTTATATGGCAATCTGTCATTTTCGAATAAACACCTTAAGTCTTTTCATACTTCGCCCTTCATTTTCCTCCAACCAGTCACTGAGGACTAAAGTGGTCACGTCAATAATGATGAGTACACATTCTCAGTGTATTTAATGTGAAAACTTAGTATGTACACTTGAGTAACTCTACATCTAATCTATTTCTAATTAGATACATTAGTTGACCATGTGACTTGTAGATGTAAACGCTTAGATCAATGACTTCATTGAGTTAATTATTCTATAACTGCACATGGATAGTTGTTTGTGCTTTTTTCTATTCATAGTTTATTCGGAATTGTTTATTCCAATTGTGAATATTGTGTTATCGTGATTAGAATTTGTGATTATTCGTTTGTTATATGTCGAAAGAAACAAGCGGGACAGCAACACTCAATCGTCATTTGCATATAGCAGGACAATTGTAGAAAAAAAAGAGAGAGTACTTTTAGGTGTGTACTGATTTTTTGGACACTGAATCGGAGTGAAGGGATGCTTATATATATATATATATATATATATATATATATATATATATATATATATATATATATATATATATATATATATATATTTGTTTACGGTATATACAAATCCAACTATATTTTTCTTACTGTTTTCCTTCGAGAAACGATATTATTATATTGAAAAATACTATTCATAAAGATTTTGTCAAAAATTTGATATGTGAACCTAATAACTACCTTCTTCGACGGAGACAATGTTTATTGGTAAAACAATAGGTTGGGAAAAAGCTTTAGGTAGGCCAAACTGAGACATGGCATCAGTCCATAAAGTTATTGACTGTTCGATTTAGCCGTGTTGGTGGTTGCAAGCTATCAGGTTAGCGTCTTTGTGATTATTTAAACTAGTGGTTGGAGACATTGGGTGACACGCCTCAAAAACATCGACAGTAGCACAGATACATTCACTTCCTATCCTCCTCGCGATCTTGATTTCCACTATTCTTCCACATATGACTTTCCACTCTGTCTTTTTAAAGCCTCTTCTCAATAATTAGTCTTTCTCATCATTTTTATCACATTTCGCTATATACCTTGTTAATTTAGTTCACCGCGCTAATGTGGTATAACAACTTAGGCCAATACACATCTACTTAAGGCTGCGTATTGATGACGACCGACCGACCGAGTGATTAAGAGCTTATCTCAGAGGACATGATATATCAGTGTAAAGTTGGCCTCAATACTTCTAAAACTAATTTCATAAACTCATTATTTTATTGGTTGTTTAGATCTTCCCACTGACGTTTAAGACTGCAAGTGATCAATCTCTTATTGGCATATTTACGTCCTGTACGAATTTCCTCGGTTTCGCCTTAAGTCATAAACATTATAAGCAGAGATGGATGGTGACCAGCAGTGAAATCCAGGAGGCGCGTTTCGTCCTGTTCGGGACTCGTCAGCTGGATGTACATGCATCCCAATAAATATAAAAAACGAATTAAACTTTACCCTATTGCACAAACTAGCGGTTATATGAACTCAGTAGCTAAGTGAATAATGTGATGGCGTTTGAAGCGAACGGTACTGGGTCCCGGTGTGAATATTGGCTCTGGTATGCGAATACACCAAACTGATGAGTCCTGGGTAAGACAAAATGCGCGTCTTGGATGCTACTTCTAGTCACCATCTATTTCTGCTTATGATTTGATCAATATCCAAAACATTTCGGAGCAATGAATCAATAATTAAGGTGTTCCACTTTTAGCCACTTAATCACAAGTTTGAATCACACTCCACCTACTTCTGTCTACGCAGCCTGATTGGTAGTATAAGACTTAGAGTATGGCTCGAATTCGATTAAGTGAATCTGTGCCTGTTAAAATTCAGTTACATTTAAATAGATAATAAACTTGTTGATTTCTTGTTCAATCCAATCCTGAAGCTACTAACAATGAAAAATCTGAAATCATACTTTCGTTAAATAAAATGTTTTCATCATAATTCCACTGATGTCTACTGGATTGTACTTTTATCTTTAAAAATGTTGAAGGTTCAGTTTAATTCTCAATATGAACAATAACGATATCATTCAATTGAATGTAGATACATTCGATTCACGCTTCCTAATTCCAAGATGAAATATACATCCTGGGTTTCTTCGCACATTCTTCATCAAATCGCAGCTGGTTTTATTTCACTTTCAAATAAACTAAGATATTCCAAGTAGAAATATTTTATTTTTCTCTTCCTACCAAGTTCTACATTCACTTACTCATATATACATTATTAAATTATTGAAGTTTTCATTCTCTTTACACTTTCTATCATCTATATGACAACAACAAAGAATTAAATTCTTATGCGTGTATCTTCCCTAATCTGTATAATTTCTCTTACTAGCACTTGTTTTTTCTGCTTCTAATTTCACTTCTATCATTCTATCCGTGACTCATCGACTAACCAATCTACTGTAAGCAGTTAATTAACTGTTGTGAAAAAATTCCGGGTGGGGTTAACCCCTATTGGTAGAATAGTTAATTTTCTTTCAACTATACTTCAGATATTGGGATTCACTACTTATTGGCTTGTACCATAATAATAATAATAGTAGTCTGTACCAATCAATTTCATTGTTACATAATAATAACCATTTGTCCTCTTCTTTTCTTTCCCTAAAAATAAACAACTCACATTTCTTTCTTCGGTTTTCAAATTTTTTCCTTTTTTATTGCTTTCATCCTACTACTATGTGTATAAGGTGACTGTTGTTTGCACTTCAAGCTATGTCGAACTTTACGTAATTCGATCAATAATAATAACGGTAAAAACAATCCATCTGCTGTTTTACCATCTACTACATCGATCTTATTTATTTTTCATTTTTATCTCTTACTTTGGATTGCATAGTTTGTGTATAAAATGTGTATAGTCCACTTGTCTCATATGTTGTATTTTTTCAGTAACTAACTATGTATTCGTCGCTTAGTCATATGAAGGAGTGACTAATTTCAATTCGTCTAGTTGTGAATTTTCTCATTAATTTCATATTACATATACTTGAAAAATTTTTTTTCTAAAAAAAAAGGTTGTGTATGAATTGAAAATGTGTACAAAATTCATTTTATTATGACCTTAGGTTATTTAGATTGTGACCTTCAACAACACAAAATCAACCAATCAATCACTGGAATAAGTTCACTAATATTGTTATTATTAAATTATAATCAACACATTTCGATAATGCTTAGTGTGACCTCAATTTGATATAGAAAAAAATGATGGATTTTTTTCGCAGTATTTTATTATTTAATTTCAGCTGATACACGATAGCTTTGTATTAGATTATTGTTCTATGTCTAAGCTTAGAACTTTTCAAGAACACTCAATTTTCAACTATTCGTTTGTAGTTCCAAACTCCGCTTCTCTTACTTTTGGTTTAAACAGTTGTTTAGTATCACATAAATAGTGTGATATAAAGCCCCAAATTCATGGATTGGTACTTGACAAATAAGATACTTTCAGTAAATATACGCAACTCCTTAAATCAGATATTAAATTTCGAATTCTTGTGATATGACATTGATGGCTACCTGTGATATAATGAATGATTTAAAGTTTTTTCCACTTTGCTGTATGCTACGCCAGTACAATAATATGGTACTAAGACTGGTCTGGTTTAACCGAGTTTATGATATCGTTAGATTGAATACTCAAACGATATACTATGCACTTTATATCAGACACATGATACTGTATAGCACTGACTGATTCAGGGTGTAAATCTTTAGATTTTTTAGAGCGACCAGAGAAAATTGCGCTAAGTAGTCAGATATTGAATATGCTTCTTTAGTTTAAGTCCCTAAATGACAACCATTGAAAACCAGGAATCAATTAAATTCTCTTTCCCCTTATTATGAAACTGTTGATCTGTGCGCATCCATAACCCCATCTGGATCGAACTCAAAAGCTTCATTTCTTGCAGCGAGAGCTTCATACTCAGACGGTTCAGCCGACATCCAATGATTTTTATTACTAACTTCAGTCGATTTACAATGTTGTAAAACTATCATCCAACTGCATCGCCGAGTAACTCTCTCACTCCCGACATGATTGAACTCTATTGGTCATGGTTACTTATTCGAATTCCTGGTATCATATCTTGAAAGTATTCACTAGAGAGGGAGCTGTAGAGAATGTTTAATTTCTTAGTTTTCATCACAGATTAACCTTGAAAAGTGGAGCAGGATTACGAAATTATTAAAAATGTAACAAACCAATAAGAATTTTTTTTGTCATTACGAAAATAAAGTGCTCTTTGTGTGTGAAATTTCCGCATGTGCAAGTGGAAACTAAATTACTACAAAAAAATACCATGTGATAAAGACGTTTTTCTTTTGGATTTAGTCATCTTAAACAATATATCAATTTCAAAGACTCTACCATCTAATCGATTCTGTGATACAAAATGCATAGTTTTTTGTTGTTGTAGTATACTGATATATCGGTTTACTAGGAGTTTAATTAAATTGCACTTTGATTATTTCTCTTCGTTTGTACTTTTACGATTACTTATTACATCCACCACATTGTAATAATTTTTATATATAATTTAGGTGAATATGGACTTGAAGTATATGCAAATGAACCATCTGAAGGTGATACGTATACACATATGTGTCAATATTTAATACATTATGAATATCCATCAAACTGGAGTAATAATTGTATACCACGATTAACAACTGCTGGTGCAGATGCCGGTCCATCTCCTGTTGCTCATCAATTTTGGCATTCTAATGAAAGAACTAATAATAACACACGTAACGGAAATTTACCAAAATACTTATCAGCAACTTATAATGAACCATCATTAAATAGTAGTGGTTCATTAAGAGAAATGTATAATTATGAATTAGATGCACCGCCAATCGGACATTTGCCTAAATTATATGCACACTCACAATACGAAAATGCAAATCAGGTAAGCAAAGAAATACCTATTATATATATATATATATATATATATATATATATATATATATATATATATATATATACTGAGTAACCAATACAAAGATTAGACATAGGGTACCAGGTAGAAATGACAAATCGACTGACGAGGCAGTAACTCTTCATCAACTGAAATGATTAGGACATGTGTTACGTATGCTCAACAACCACTTATCGTGACTGGCAACTTCGTCTAGTATAGGAGTAATATTGTAATAAAGCTACGGACAGCCAAACCAAAACATGAGACCAACCTTTGAAGTCATTGATGTGCCAAGAAATGAATACAAAACAGCTATCTAATGTTATCTAGAATTCAATAGTTCTCTAGAAGATATCAATCTATGATATGTAACGGACAACCCATTTATCATAAAATTCAAATGCCATTTGTACAAGAATGGTTATTCTGTCCATCTTTCATAAAACTACTAAGAAGTATCTCAGTTTTGGCTAGAATCTTTATGTTATGTATTTTTCGAAAAAAATCCTACTTAGCACTTGATATGAATAGCGCGTAAAAAATGAATTGTCCATGAACATGTAAAAGTACATGGTACATGCATTTTTTTATCCGAAAATATTGTTATTATTAGTAGTATCAGTATTAGTATTGAGAATAATAATTTAATTCTTAGTATTCTAGTTTGACTGACCTGACATTTTATGCATCAAGTTATTTAATATTACTGTGATAATATTATTTACTGAACCTTTCATATTTTTGTATGAATTAGTAAATGACAATATCTAATCTTCATAAAATCAATATATTTTATGAAGAATGTTGAACGATTTAAATGCTCTAAGGATCTTGAAGGTAATGAATTTTAAGGGGTGGTATGGTTGGCTTTCCCGCTATGTAACTAATACCTTCATATCAACCTTAAATAACAATACTTTCTAGTATATCTAGTATCTCTGGGCCTTACTGCTGATCACATCTTATCGATAATGCTTGTAACATGGCCACTCACCCAAGTTATTCGATGTTTCGCTACATTTTACTTGGTGTTAAATTGTCCGAAGCATTTGGCTGAACGCGATCAGAACTACTAACTTTAACATTTAACCTCACCTATTTCCTAATATCTGATTAATACATTCAGATTAGTCTTATGGGAGACAAGTTTTAATTTGAATATTTCAGGCGTAGCTATGTTAATGACTGATGCGTGTTTGAAAGTCCGACGGAGCGTCATTTGCCCGAATCTTCGTAAATATGCCTTGCTGGTAAGTGCTAACTAGTAAAAAAGAAGATAAATTTACAGCTTCCTACTATTCAGTACAACGTAGTGTAATTTGGCAACATCTGCTTTAGCTATAAACCACTATGGTAATTACATTGTGATTTAAGGAACATGTAACATTTATTTTGTTGAGTCTTTAATTTGATCTATTGTGTAATGTTCCATTATCCATTGGAAACCAGGCAGTGCTGGAAAGCCGTTTAGTTCCAGTGTAGAACGCCTCAACAGAGCGTATCCATAAACTCCGCTAGGGGATCGGACCCAAAAACTCTGTATCTTGTATCTTTTTATAGTTATCCATAAATAAGTAGTCTACACTCTAAGTTTGACTGTTAACGATATATCTCGGTTGCCCAAATCAAAGTAGTTGGAGCGGGGTTTGATCCTGAAACATAGTGGTCGAAAGTCAAATGCCTTAATCACTAAGCTACCGCTCCACTTGGTAATTGTCTGATTAAGGTTAGATTATGTTATAAACTATAAAGTTCAACAATCTCCATAAACCTTTATACGCATTTCAACTTTAACAATATTTTACAACTTAATATTTTTCTGGTTTCCATTTCTCTTACTTCATTCCATAAATTTATATAATACTATGTAGTACAGGTTTGTTGTTGCTGTAAGACAATAGTTTTGACCTTTCCTTCTTTTTTTTGTTTTCTATATTTCTTACTAATCTAGTTCGATTTAATTATTGGTTTTGTGTACCATAATGCTTTATTTATGTTCTGTTATACGGATTACCTTAACATTTTTTTCAAATGTGATTCGGTTAACTTTGTTATTTTGACTGAAACACGAAGTTATAATTTTCTTCTATCGTTAGTTCACCTCTCCCACTGCTTACTTCATGTATTTCAATATAATTAAATGTGTTGTTTTATGTAGGATAATGAATCAGTGGCTTTTTTGACATTTGTCTATTAATAATCATAAATCCATAAAGGTTTATTCATCCCGTTTCCTAACAATATGGTTTGAATAATTGTATAGTGTAGTATATATATTAATGGACATCGAATCCTATGTGCATAGATATTAAGTTGTTTCTTAGGAAATATAAGGCAACTGAAATTTCATCTATTTCATCAATTAATCAAAAAAAGCATAGATTTAACGCTTTTGGTTCGAGTCTAGTTGTGAACATCAACACTGAAATACTGGCACATCCGTTTGATGAGTTTTAAATAGAACGAAACATAGCTCTTGAATCCCACTGTTAACCTTGATGTAAAATACACAATTAAAACTTATAACTACAGCTAATACTGAAATATCTACTCATATTGTATATTTGTCAACACGGACTGATCGAAATTCCGTCCTGAGTGACAAATATGTGATAAAAAAGCACTCATGCTACCGTCTGTAGTTAGTTTAAGTAGTTTAATGTATGTTAGGAAAGGTCATATGAAACAAATTCATAGCATGTTCACTCTCCAAATTGCCTACCCACTTATCGTGAACGTCCAAACAATTATCATTTTGAAAGCTTCCATGAAACATCAGAAAAGCAATATATTCTGGAGTAATTACGATTACTTACAATTCCATTTCTGTTATTATTATGAAGCATGTTTTGAGATATTCGGTCTACAAGTTAAACTGAAATATTTTTTTACTTCATTTATATGCAAATAGTGACTGCTTTTTGAAAAGTTACTTGTTTAACGGTATGCCAAGAAACTTTGTAACCTTATTAACCATCGATATTCTTTTCAGTGCGTTGTGTAACGATCATTTGTGTGTCTGTTACTAAATCGTTAACGGTTATTGCTCTCGCATAACTCATCAAGTATACAACTTCAGCTGAGGTTTTTGTGACATTTATTAATAGTCCGAAGGTCTTCGGCTCGTACCGAGATTTCATCTGTACTTCACAGATATTCCTTTATATACTACTGCTTGATTGTTGTAAAAACGACAAAATAGTTGATGGGTGTAGTGATACCCTGTCGATCGATGTGGTAAAAACTTGTACTACATGTAACCAACCACCACTTACCTCTACGCGGAATATTTGCTGATATGGTAGTAGGTAGGAAGATAGGAGCTTCCAGACCAGAACATGACATCAGTTCATGAAGTTGGCTGTTTGGTTTAACGAGATTATTAGATGCGGGCTTCTGGGTTAGCGTCCTCGTTATTATCCTGACCAGTATTATAGGCATATTCATCTTATCTTCCCTTTGGATCTTGGGTTTTTGAACTATCTTTCCCCGTTTTACTTTACGAATTCACTTTTTCTCAACTCCTATTCTCTATCCCTTGTTGTTACTTCTACTAGTTTGGTATTTATGTTAACTTTTTCATCTGTCATCGCTGCGATAGTGTGATGACTTGAACTGTTGCATGTACATCCTAACTATACATTGTTTACGGCTAAATGACTGACTTTACTATGGTTCTCATTAATGTACTAACTTGAATTTGACACTTTTTGTAAAAGAATTGTTTCATCATTTAAAAGCGATTATCATATATGTAATTTTCACTTCTTTCTGTATGCTTAAAAAAACACTCCAGCCAAACTTAAATCGTATAAACAATTACTCAATGAATAATAATGATAATTTATGCAAACCACCGTATGGATATGTACCTTCGAAAAGTAATCATCTTATGAATAATGATCCTACTGCTTCACCACCCATTGTACCGTCCTCCAATGATCGACTATCAAATTTAAACCAAAATTTCGCTAATATCAAACTTAAACAAGTATGTTATGCTTTATTTTTATGTTTATATATATACATTCATCATTTGTTACAATACTGTATTTAAGTACTAGTGTACATACTCAGTTTAAAGCTGAAAATCCTTGATTCCTGATTAAATCTCAAATTCTTTGACAGCTAGGCTATCATTCAATTTCAGAACCATTCAAACTTCAAACACTAAACTATAGGTTTGAACTCTGTTTCGCTACTTAGCACAATTTTGTTAGCCAGGTGGTAGTATTTCCAGTCTTTATACATCATAAAAAGTTTGTCTGCCGGCTAACATTAATGATGACAGCAGGGTTGATTTTAGGTAAGAAGTGTAAATAAATTGAATTTTTTCTCGTCTTAACATGACTGAATAGATGTATTCTGTACATACCCTGCTTCGGTTTGGGAACCCGGGCAGTATCACAGCCCTCCCACATATCGAATGAGATTTGTGTGGCGCATATATATTTGGTGCCTCATTGTACCAATATCTATGTGTTAAAATAAATAGATAATAAAATTCTGTACATAACTGTTTTTACGTGTATATTAAATCTATGTGTTGGATTGAATGGCTTTTAGAGTGGTCAAATAAAAATAGTGTATCAATCAATATACCAAACCATTACCTGTTAAGCTGAACTGTATAATCAACTGTAAGCTTGTTAATTAGGATCCTTATGATGCCATAAACGTATCCGTCTTAAATGTTTACACCCGCTGTTAATTATTCTGAAAAGTTTTATTGTTCAACATATTGTTTGGCATCTGTCCGCTTTCCTTTATCTTTATACTCTTCTATACTCTTTTTTCACAATTTTTATTTCCGTTTGCTTGTTATTCTGTATTTCAAAGTGTTAACGTTTAAAAGCGGATATACTATTTCGACTAATTTCGTCTTATAATTATATTCATAATTAGTTTATTGAGTTTCTTCAGTAAACTGATGCAGTCATCACGAAAACTCAAAGAATACTATGCAGTAATATATTTTCAAGTAATTTTAAAAGTGTATTGTAAAATGACAAACACAAACAAAATTTCCTAAGAACTTTACTTCTAGATACATCAATCCATCAATCAGCATGATATTGATACACCTAATCAACACTTTAAGGTCAAAAATTTAAGTTATTTTTATGATTTTCAACCAAAATAATTTAAATTCTTTGAAAAAAAAACTGGCTAATTTTGACTAATTAACTCAATAGTTGGGCACTGAGTGTATGAGAAACATTGCAAATTAAATTTCATTTGGACAACATGATATTATTTGTAAAATAGTGTACACCAACGGACTAGGCGACTTGAATTTTCTAGTCTTCATTTCGATCGAATTGGAGAAATCCGAATAGCTTGATATAAATTTATGACTGTGATACTGCGAATCATTGTTTTGAATTGTTAAGTTAGCATCGATTTCCTCCTGACTTCAGATCTACCTTGCTGAATAGTATGAAGGTTTATCGCTTCCTATCGACCAACCATTTAACCACTCACTTATGAATAGAAAGATTCGAGTAACTGGGAGATATTTTTCTATTCATTATTCAAAATTTCTTTTCTCATCAGAATTCCTAACACCGTTCTGATATAAAATTTTGTATAACTAAAAAATCAGTTATAAACTAGTCAGAATGTGTATAAAATTATGTTGAGAATATTTTTGTACTGCACTATTTGAATATATATCCTGCGAAGAATGTTATCATGTAGTTCATCACTTTGAGATCTGTCGCACAAGTTAAGACCTATCATAATTTTCTTTTGATGTTGCTATCGATGTACAAGTTAAATAAGAAAATATTCATCCATTGGTTTTCTTTTCATGATGTGTTGTTGTTCCCACTCAGATTCTTTTACCAGTCTAAATGACCAAGTCTATAGTGCTAACGAATGAATACAATATATATATATATATATATATATATATATATATATATATATATACTGAAAGATGAAAATAAATTTCACCCTTGCCTTTCATCTGTTACGTATCTCGACGTCTTAGAAAAATTCAGTTCACATTATGTTCTCTAATAAAGTAGTGATAATCATTTTCTTGTTATGAGATTTAGCTAATGGACTACTAGAATAATTGAAAAGTAAAAATACATATTTTTATTTCTTAAATTATGTTGACGCTGCAATTAACTTAAACTGAAACTCGTCTCTCTCCTTGGTAGTCAAATATTGAAGAAAATGTAAACGGTGTAGTTGTTCATTTATCAAACAGCCATTTGATTTGATAACGTCTGTTTATGCTTTCACTTGTGTGTGTGCGAGAGTGAGTGGAAGGATATTATGTGTTTACTAATGTTTTTATCTACGTTGTTTTACTCAAATTTCTACTACAATGTAACTTTACAGCTGTGTAACTATGTACAAAGTGATCAACTCTTATTAATTACCATTTTTGATAGTTGATTAGTCTTACTGTATTTCTGATCTATGTCATCGATTATTTGTTTCGTATTATCATCTAAAGTTCTCCATCCCAATTTATTAGTTAAGATAGAACGTTTGTGAAGTTGATCAGAAAACTGTTGTAGACAATCATTTATCTTTTCTTTTGCACTCGAATTATTGAAAACAATGGCGATCAACATTTCCTCAGTTTAGCTTCTTTAAATCGTTTTCCCCTTGATCATTCTCATCGTTTATTTTCATATTACAATTCTATTATATTGTGTGATTCGTCTCTCCAAGTTAGTGCGAACCATTTATCAAGCACACATATTCTTTTACGCTGTTTTTAAGACACATTTTCTGTGTAAAACATGATAATGATACTACTACTAGCGAGCTGTCCTAATCTGAATTATTAAAAATATTTTTTAAGTCTGCAGTTCAAAATTTAATCGTCGAGATTTTTAACCACTAGCTTGTTTTTTAAGACTAAAATAAAGCAACGTTCTTAAAGAAATGAATCGAGAATTCTGAAGGTCAGGTAATAATATTCGGATCTATAGTGCCAACTTTATCTTAACTAATACTTCTCAACAGAAACTAGTCTATTAGTAGTATCCTTATTATTAACTAACTTTAGTGATTAAATTCGTCGATTCTTGTCTAATTAAATAATTAGGTGTTAGTGACAAGGATTGTTCTTTTTAATGTTCAGCTTCTGATCGACTCAATCACATAGTTATTTGTCTAATAAACAACTTCAACCACAACTTTAATTCCATTGACATTTACAAAGTATTCATCTAAATTGAAGAATTATATGTACATACAATTATATGAAATAATCCAACTTTGTGTGTACTTTTATCCACATAAATAAATAAATCACTAATATTATTCGCGATTACATGAATTTTGGCATGGTAAGCGTAATAATAATAATAATAATAATAATAATAATAATAATAATAATAATAATAATAATAATTTTTAAAAAAATTTTGGAATCAATGAATTGAGTTTTGATCCGGATTTAAGTGTAGATATGTGAGATATCTACAAGAAAAGGTATTATTTCTTAATCTAAGTATAAATACGATTGTGCTGAGAATTCTATATTGTACCAAAATATAATATTGAATAAAGTCATTAATAATAATAATTAAGTTACTTTGAAAAAATGTCAATATATTTTGTCTTTTATCACAATATGAATGACAAAATATTCCCTTTATTTCCCTCTGATATAATTGACGAGTAAAATACTTATTATGTTGATTTCAATATAAACACATTTATATATTGATAGTTACTTACACCACGAATTATGACAGTCAGTTAGCTATACGCAACGTAGAATCTGAAAAATATATGCGTCGTTAGATAAAAATTATCAAGACAAATCTCTGAACAATAGAAGTGCTAATTGTATCAACATAGACGAAAAGCTTGAGTGTAGAAAGAAAGATATAAAAAGTTATAGAGAGATTTCAGCACTCAGAAACTAAGGGAAGATAAAGAATAAATGCAACTGCACTATTGTAACCAATGCTGAGCCATATGAACACAGTGAAGTCTGTACAATATGAAAAATAAGATTTCACAAGCTCCTACAGTAAAAATCATACCAAGAATATCTAAAAGACCTGTATACATCACGGATACAATCAGAAGGCATTGAAAACGGTTTAAGAGTTGAACAAATGTTATGAATTCGAAACTTAAGAATTAATTATCATAATTGTGACATTTAGTAATTGTGAACATATTCATTTGCTCAGTCAGTTAGTCAGTCAATCAGCAAGTCAAATGTAACGTAACACCTCAGTTGTTTACAACGATTCAGGTTGTTAAACCCCATTGGAACATCATTCTCCTCCTTATACCGTACATGATAAGAATTATCGTGTCTTTTCCTGCGATTTGAGTTTCAGTCACCTGTTGAGCGTGTTTTCAGATGTCGCCAGGGAAGAAACCATTACGAACTGATTAATTCATCTTGGTAATTATGGCACGTGGCTCTGTTCTTTCACTATGACACTCCTTTATCTCATAAGGGATATGGGGGAGTTCTGAGAGGTCAGTGTATCAAGAAGCAGGTTCATGGCAACCTCAAAGTTTCTAGTTAGCGTGAGGCTCTGTATGTGGCATTCATAATGCTATCGAGTTATCCAAGACTGGAACGATAAACTTCATTAGCCGCCCCGCCTCTTATGAAATGGAGTTTTCGGTTATGCTTTAGTAGCTGGGATCTTTTTCTAATTTCAGAGCGTTCTGGGATTATACAAACTATTGAAAAGAACAATCCTAAATAATTATTTAGTTGTTACAAATCACGTGTATTACTCAATGTATTTGTGGGTTAAATGCAAATTTATTCTGGGCGTTAGGCTTTGTTTCATCGATTAATTTATCATCTACTTGACTTTATTTTCAACACCCACACCTGTTGAATCATCAGTTAAGATTCATATCTTGTCTGATAATTTATTACTTATCTGTATTGAATGTGTGGGCGGGCACGCTGTTCAATACTCAAGATTGTTAAATGATGAACCCAGTTGAAGTTATTCATAGAAATACGATATTCATTTATCTGCAGTTTCACTAGACAGTCGGATTAGTAAACGATTATCGAAAAATGATACTGAAACGACTAAGAGAATGGGTTTTTAAGAACAACTCAATTGACGTTCAGTGGTAACATACAACTCGAGTAAAACTTTTTTATTGTAAATAGTTTTTATTCTTTTTAATATTCTCCTTTCTGTTAGTATTGCATAGTTTTCTGTCTTCTATTTCTTTAAAACTTTGTTATCTCTTGTTTTCTGTAACATTTTTAAATAGATTGTACCAAACTTTTTTTTAATAAATAAATGCTAAATGTAGCTCATTTACCACGTACATGTTTATGTACTCAGTTTTGTGCCATATGGTTTGTATATAGACTAGCGATTACCATTCAGTGATAAGTGGATCGGTGTTGAAGCCTGAGTCCAGATAGTTATAAGTTGAAGGTCCAACCATTAAGTCACCACCACTCTATATTATGTTGGTAAAGAAATAGAATTTCATTGGACCTGTTTATATAAATCAATCAGCTCCTATAGCGTTTCCACAACGTCACAAATCCTTGATCTTTTTTTTGCACCACTACTTTAAAAAATTACGCGTAAAATTTGATTCATATATATGTTGATGAACATGTATCAGTCTTACCATTAAAAAGTAGTAAACTATATCATCAGTTACGTTCTAACTTCTTTTTTTTCTTCTGTGTATTTATTTGTACACACATTTGTCACACATATCTACAGACAGAAATACACGTATTATAATGTGCGCTGGTTAGTTTTGTCCCATTTTTCAACTACGTATACAATATAGGATAACCTAATTTGTAGCCTCTTATGTCTATAATACACTTTGTTCTCATTTATCTTCGACATTATGACTGGCCCATGTATATTTACAAAAAGTAACATTTTCATTCCAAAAAACGCATGATCACGTGATTCTTGTGTATAAGACCTATACTGTTTAAACGAATGTTTTTTTTAATCGTATGGACCAAACATTTTCAGTGTCCATCGCATATCACATAACCTTCAATTCATAATTCATTGGATTTCCAAAAATTCACAGTCAGAAAGAGAAAAAAACAATAATCGAATTTTTCCTCGCTGTTGTTTTCACAATTCTGAGTTGTGTTTTATTCGGCAAGGCATAAAAATAATAACACAGCAGCGGTGAATGTAACAACAATAACAAAATTTTCCAATAAATTGCCAAGACAACAAATGAAATTAAAAATAATCCCATAGTTAAACCCTGTTTCAGTAAAAAAAAAAAAAGCCAAAATGTAGCCAGAAAACCCTAATTGTGTAATTAATAGCAAAAAAACAACAGTTAATCGTAATTCTGTTTATTTACGTGTGGGTGTACATGGTTTGAAACACGCCTTCATTTACTTGTGTTTTTTTTGTATTATGGTTGATTAACCTGAGTGAAAGAAAAGATGTGTTGTTATATTGCATAAATGTTACTTAAGAATCGCTTTATTCAGATGGAGTTTTGTTCTCTGAGTTGAATGATTTGCTTAGATTCCACCCGAATTCCATCTGAGTTACAAACCTTCACCATCTCAGGATAACTTCATTATCTGTCTCATCGTTTTCCATATCGTTTTTTTAAATGCAGTAACTTAATTATACTTTCGGATATTCTGTTTCTTTTTCTAAATATTTTACATCATTTATTGATATCATGTTGACAACCATTGAATAGTAGGAAGCACTAAATATTTATTTCGTCCTAGTATATAACCTCTTAACAATGCTGAACAACAATCTCACCCAGGAAATACAGGTCTCACAGTGAACACTTAATCTTCAGATCATGGAACCAGTGTCTAATGGTTTACATGTTTAACACAAATCAGTTCACGGTACTGTATAACCACCTTTCAATACCATCGGCGTAGGGTCGCGGATGTGCACTTCTAATGGGTGTCATACTGACATAATTTGTTCAATGCTTCTTAGTTTTCAATGTCTTTTACACTAAGATCAGTCTATGATACAACATATAGAATCCATGGATCTCCACAAACCCTCCAAAGTAACAAAAAATATTATATTTTTTAAAAGCCAATAGCAACAGTTTGATTTATCATGTAATATTTAGTTCTGTTGCGTGTACCAAAACCTTAAATAAATACAAAGTATCAAATTCCATTCTCGAAGTTGACATTATCTTACTAGTAATATATATATATGGGTGCACAACTAATCCTGTCACATTCCTATGAATAAATATATAATGCGATTTAACGATTTTTGTAATATGAATGACTTCATATTGTTAGACATTTTCTCTACATTGGACAAAGTTCTTATGGTATCTGACATTTATTCATTAAAATGACGTCTAGAAAATTTCCAGTTCCTTAGTTTCTCGCTAAAAATTTGTTCGAATAAAAGTTATATTGTTAATATATAGGTTTATGTATTCATTAGTAATGAAGATTAGCAAAATTCATCTTAAGCTATAGTCTGAATGTACCATGCATACGGTACGCATGTATTAATTATGAGAAAATGCATTGCAATTAATATTATCGGATAATCATTTTGAAAAGGAGTTTTGTCATAAACTGACATTAGTTGGGGTAACTTTGAACGCGATGAGGCAGTGAGCTAGACAGATAATATGTTTCACTTTAAAACTCTTCCATTGGGTGCGCATACATGAGATATAATCCCAAACCTTCAGCAGTTGATAGATACTAGTAGCTATTGCATAGACAGCTAGTGGAACTCAATGCCCAAAATACAAAAATGTGTGCCTAATAGTTATTAAATTGTTGCAAGAATACTATAATTTATAACCGATTTTTGTAAATTAGCATTATCGTTGTTTCGTTTCGTTTTTTGTTCTTTTATTAATCAAATAAGAAGGATTCGTCATTAAAGCATTCTCCTCGTGTTGATGCTACTTCGGATGGATTATATGGTTACAATCCGATTACCTCAGGTAAAAAGAAAAAAAGTTCTACATTTATAGCTTATTATTATTATGAAATTATCCTTGTCCCCATACGGGAAATGTATCAGTTTTTATATGATATTCTATTGTGTTCTTCCCCTTTCCTTTTTAAAAGTAACTATATTCTTACATTGTTTTCCTAACACTTGCATAGAATAACATGGTCTAATAGTCAGAACATCCAACTTTTAACTGTGTTTTTAGATTTCAGGCTTTACGGAACAAAAGATGTGAAGCGTTAAATTGAGTACATCAGTCTGCTGTTAATTGGTTTTGTACTTTCGTGATCGAGCTTTGTGTTCGGATATAAGTTTCAAGTGAAACACCAATGCAGTCTATATCTTGGTTGCATTTGTCAAGCAAGGTTAAGCGCACATCGTAGACTGTATTACTAAGTAGTGATACTAAATGTGAAAATTTCTTAAAAATCCGTCTCGAGTTGATTGATCATTTCTTAATCATACAGTAACCTGGTCTTGAGGTCATTCCATGATTTCATTGAATATTGAGCTCAGCTATGTTGGTAGGCGAAGACTATTCAGTTGGAGCCCACTTAATCGTTACTAATGAGCAGATAATTTGAGTGACGTGCGATAGCTCAAATGCATTCACCCTCTGTTTCCCCTTAAGTTCTAACTCCCAAGATCTTATACATTTGTTTCTTTCGACATCTGGCGTTTTCCACTTCTAGTGACACTTACCGAACTACTATAAGATTTGTCTTGGTAATTTTATCTCATGATGCTAAGGTAGTATGGCGACTTGAACCAACTCGCATATTTTTCAGGTTCCATGTTGCATACAATTGACAGTAATCTAGTTGAGATTTAGTATTCTCATAACTAAATGAAAACAAGGTAAATTCCATTCAAAGGGGTGATATGAATTTTAGCTCCAAATTTACGCAAAATATCAAATGTAATTACGTTAGTTAATTTTTAATTGACTCGTTACTATAGGTAGTATTGAGTGAGATTTGTATTCAAAGTCCATAAAAAGACCTCTGAGTTGTTTGTGCACCGAGATTTCACCCAGTACTTTCTTTACAAATGAAATGTTAAAATGCATTTGATCATGTTTACAATATATGTGGTTTTATATATACTGAACAATAGATAGTGATATCAGTTTATTCATTTATTGCCGTTAATAAGAGCCCACCACGCATTACAGTAAATGATTAAACTACGCAGCAGGTGGCCCAACCATCTCTTTCGATGAAGATTCAGAACCTCATCAACTGATTTACCATCATCTCCTAGTACCTTGCGTCTAACTTCACTATAACTTGCCCGGTGATTCCAGCAGATGCGAGCAATATTTCTAAGGCATCTGTGGTCAAATACTTGTAGCGTACGAATATGTTTTACTCTTAATGGTCACGTTCCTCAGCTGTAAAGTAAAACAGAACGAACTGCCGCGCAGTTTACTCGTCCTTTAATTGATAGACGGATATCTCGCCTTCGCCATAGGTGACGTAAGTTGGCAAAAGTCAAACGAGCTTTTCGAATCCGTGCTGGGATTTCGTCAGACACCAACCCATTAAGGTTGATCAGACTTCCAAGATAAGTGATGTTGTCAACGCGTTCGACTACTTCATTCCCTATCCTTAGTTCAGGTGTTGACGCAGGCTAGTCCTGAAACAACAAGTTGCATTTAGAGGGGGAGTAGCGCATCCTAAACTGTTTGGCATTGTTGCTCAGAGCTACCAAAAGACTGCATTTTATCAGCGTCTTCACTAAACAGGACTATATTATCTGTGTATTCTAAGTCGATAAATTGACCTCATGGTAAGACATAAATGCCTGAAAATTCAGTCAACGAGAGCGTTATTTCCAGCAGTAGGTCTATGATGTAGTTAAACGAAAATAGAAGAAGTGCACAGCCTTGACGGACACCGCTTGATGTTGCGAAAGCAGATGACAGTTCGCCATAAGCTCTGACTTGACTAGTAGTGTTCGAGTAAAGAGCCTGCACAAGGTTTATGTACTTCTGAGGTACGCCTTTCAATGACAGACACTGCCACAGAACCTCGCGGTCTACGGAGTCAAATGCTGCTTTTAAGTCAATCTTTATATATGTAGCCAGAATTTAACACCAATACAAAGCATATTCACTTTTTAATAAGTAAACCATATCGTCTAACACATTGTAGAATTTAGACGTATACTACTTTTGAGAGCAACAACTCAGTCATCCTCTACTCATTTACAGTAATGGAATGAAGACTGTTATTTTGTGGAAGAGCTTTTATTGAATCCATAAACGTCAATTTATGGTACAACTCATCTCTTTATATAGTTTGTTTTTGATATTAGAGAAAGTGCACCAAAATAAAAATTTGTATTTAGTAATCACGAAACTTATTGTTTATAGTGCTCGAAAAATTCTGCATACTTACTTGTTTTTGATAATCATCATAGAACGTCAGAATGATTGATAAACCCCATAAGATTCGGAAGTAAACACTTTTGCATGTCTCAATAATAATATAACACAAGTGGGATTATCTCATTATTTTATACAAATTTCTTGTATGTGAACCATGTGAGAATCATAATATGTATATACTTTAATAAAGTACTTAATCAATTAACGAATACTGGTATTCCTTTCTTATATTCTCTGACTATAATTTGATGTTTGGTTTCGTAATAGTTTTCATTTTTCTTTGATAGGCATTTCTATCTAGTCCTATTCGATCAATATTCTTGTTATGTTAGTAGTGTGTTTTTATTATTGAATAGTGATGTCTTGACACACTGTCTGTCTATCAGGTTAATAACATACTAACCGTTCAAATAATCTTTTTATGTGTTTTCTTTTCGGAATCATCAATATTTAATGTAAATTAGTTGGTTGGCTGATCTTTCAATATTCCTCTATCACAATAATCTAAATTAACTAGTTTAACCAATGTAATGACCAACAAAAAGAACTATTAAACAATAAATGTAATGATTTTCATTTTAAAACTAATCATCGTGCTATTGTTTTGCGTTCTCTGATTACGACCCAGCTACTCTTATTGTTTATTAGTCTAGGTCACTACTTCAACCGACAAGTCCTCAAATCAGAACACAGGTGAACAGAAACGTGATTATATTCCAGATAACAAGGTTGAATAGAAGTAAGAATCACAATGAGGAAAACGTTACCATATTTATAATTTTTACATCAAAATATTCTGATAGGTTAAGGAATGGCCAATTAGCGTGCCCCAACATAGTCCTATACAGAACATGCTTTAATCAAATCTATATCCCGCTAACAACTATTAACAATTCCTTTAGGGTAAATTTAGACAAATTAATACAGAAAAATAACACCTCGTTCAATAATCCAGCAGTTCATATTCTTGTACACGTGCAAGAAGCATAAAATATCGAGATCAACGTTATCATCTTTATTTTCTAATTTATGTTTTATAGATCTTAACCAGGTAGATCATATTTGTGAACAGGACCCAAATCAACTGTCACTTATTTTCTAGTTAGTTGTCATATCTCAATACGGCTTACTAATAAATCTTTTTGAACCTATATAATTATAACTAACAGCTCATGTCAAGTATAGACCATAACTTTGCATAGCAGAATCGCATAACCGAGTCACCTTAATCAGTTTAAGTGCTTAGAAGTTTCATCTATTTGACATCCTCTTTTGATTGTAACAGTAAGACATGAGTTGTCAGTATTTTGTCGATTGGCCAGTCTGTATTTTTTCCGTTATATAACTATATAACAATGGAATAGTTTATATGCTCAAATTTGTCATGTATGCCTTGTGTAATTGCTATGACTTTTAATTATGTATTTGGTATTTGCTGATTACGAACAATTGAGGGATTCTTTTAATATGAAATGGGATCTATGGTAAATGGATGGATCGGACAATGAATACAAAACGTTTCTAAAAGACTGAAATCTTGTAAGATAACTGTATTGGACAAGACCGGGGAAGAAGCAATTCATACTCTAGTTTATTCAAGTTATATGACGATCGTTCACTGACCATTTTGTCAAATTAAATAATTGTCAGTAAACGCAGATCACATTGAGTTAACTAATCTACATGGTAAAGATAAATGAAAAAGAACTAACTGCATAATAAATAAATCGATACCGGTAAGAATACAATGAACAAAGTCCACTTCAAATCAACATGTGAATGCTAAAATTGATTTCTTCATAAATATAGCATCACCATCAACCATACTACCCGGAATGGGTAAATTATAATCGGAATGTGTTACCCAGTCTTTGAATGATGATTCCTTCAATTATTAAGCTATGTTTTCCACATTATAAAAGTATATATTATGGCGTTTAATTTTTTCTTAGGAGAAGGCACTGACTCGAAACTATGTGTATATATGATGAATTCGCCGTCAATGATTATTGATCTAGAACTACTAAACTTGTTACCTCTTATATTTGATATTTTATTTGCATTAATTCCCAATGGTTATTATTAACCTATGAAGAAACCACATTCAAAATTTGCTGGGGCTCACATTCTCTTAAATTCGCCGTGATTTTTAATTTCTTCTAATTACTAACTTTGCGACTCAAAAGAGAATTTTTAATTGTAGCCAATTAACGCAAATGCTACAAACTTTGTAATATTTTTTTGGAAGTACACGAAATGCCTCATTTGCTTAAAACTTGTTCTTACCCGATAATTGATTCTTTGGAACAGTTCATTACACACGTTCCCCCCCCAGTAATTGGCAGAATAGAACTTTTCTCATACTAATTCATCCAACTGTATAGTATCAAAAAATTCATACAAGCAGTATGTCTAAAATCTATGTCCTTAAAACTGTAGTTGGGTAGATTAGCAAGTTACACCATTATTTAGATATTCAATGTTGCTACCTGTTAATTTTGATCAGACATCAATAGTAATCTTATATTCATATGACTAATAGTTTTTGTTTGTTTATTTTATAAGCGCTTATCATAAATCAAATCTTTTTTAATGAT